CAAGATTCCTATCTATAAGTCTTCTGAATCTTGATCTTGGGTCTTGAATGGTTCTTCATGCAGACTTTAGATTTGAACCCTGGCGCTTGTTAGCTGCAGGTGCTAGCTCATTCTTCTTTAGCTTTTCGGATCAAGACCGGGCATGTAGTGTTTGTGACTTCAACCACATCTTGAGCAGTTCACATCTTTCTCTGCTTCTGCATTTTGGATTCACTTCCCTTTTTCTTTTCTTTTTTATTCTGGATTGTGACTAACTCATGTTGATCACCTCAGACTGTTGAATCACATTCTTGCCGCGAGCTTCTTTTGTTGCTGACTTGAATTGCATTCTAAAGTGAATTTCCTTATTCTCCAGGTAGCGCTTGATTGCCAACATTTAAACTGTATTCTCTTGTTCTCCAAGCTGGTGCATGATTACCAAAACTTGAATTGTCTTCCCTTTGTTACCTTAAACTGTTTTCCCTCGAAACTTGTGTTGTCTTCCTTTGAACATTACTGCTTCCCTTTGTTCTTCAGGTGGGCTCCTGATTACCAACACTCAAATTGCTTTTCCTTTGTTCTCCAGGTGGGCTCCGGATCACAAACACTTGAATTGTTTTCCCTTTGTTCTCCAGGTGGGCTCCTGATTACCAACACTTGAATTGCTTTCCCTTTGTTCTCTAGGTGGGTTCCTGATTACCAACACTAGAATTGTCTTCCCCTTTGCTCTCCAGGTGGGCTCCTGATTACCAACACTTGAATTACTCTCCCTTTGTTCTCTAGGTGGGCTCCTGATTACCAACACTTGAATTGCTCTCCCTTTGTTCTCCAGGTGGGCTCCTGATTACCAACACTTGAATTGCTATCCCTTTGTTCTCCAGGTGGGATCCTGATTACCAACACTTGAATTGTCTTCCGCTTTGTTCTCCAGGGGGGCTCCTGATTACCAACACTTGAATTGTCTTCCCTTTGTTCTCTAGGTGGACTCCTGATTACCAACATTTGCACTATTTTTCCTCGAAACTTAAATTGCTTCCCTTGTTCTCCAGGTGGACTTTTGATTGCTGAACTTGAACTGTCCTCATTCGAAACTGCTTTTCCTTGAAACTTGAACTGTCTTCCCTTGTTCTCCAGGTGAGCACAAGATCAAAACAAACAAAACAAACAGAATTTTCTGCCCCACTTGCACTAGGAAGATTTGTGAGTTGTTAGCAAAAGTGTAAACCACTTATACTATTGATGCAATGATGAGAGTAAACTCAAGACTAGGGTAGGATGTGCGTCTCTTATGAGTAAAACGAAGAAACTTTGACTAGCAAATGCGTCTGCTAAAAATGAAATCTGAATGACCTAGATCAGGAAGTGCGTCTCCTACAGGAGAAACATGAATGAACCAAACTATGAAGTGCGTTTCCTAGGGGAGGAATCTCAATTTAGGAAGTGCGTCTCCTAAAGCAAAATATAACTTGAAAGACCCAGACTAAGAAGTGTGTCTCCCAGGGGTGAAACATCAATGACTTAAACTAGGAAGTGCGTCTCCTAGGAATGAATTTAAATGACCAATGCTAGGAAGTGTGTCTCCTAAAAAGTACAATCTGAAAGATCCCTACTAGGAAGTGCGTCTCCTAACGGGTAAAATTTCAAAGACTCCAACTAGGACGTGCGTCTCCTAGGGGTGAATTTAAGTGATCATGACTAGGAAGTTCGTCTCTTGGGGGTAAAACTTCAATGACTCAAACTAAGAAATGCGTCTCCTATGAATGAACTCTCAATTTAGGAAGTGCGTCTCCTATGGGTGAAACTTCAATGAACCAAACTAGGAAGTGCGTCTCCTAGGAATGAACTTAAAGGAACCAAATAGAAAGTGCATCTCCTGTGGTAAAATCTCAATTTAGGAAGTGCGTCTCCTAAAAGAAAAATATAACCTGAAAGACCCAAACTAGGAAGTGCGTCTCTTAGGGGTAAAACTTCAATGACTCAAAGTAGGAAGTGTGTCTCTTATGAATGAACTCTCAATTTAGGAAGTGCGTCTCCTAAAAGAATAACTTGAAAGACCTTGATTAGGAAGTGTGTCTCCTACAGGTGAAACTTCAATTTAGGAAGTATGTCTCCTAAAACACAAATATAACTTGAAATACCAAGACTAGGAAGTGCATCTCCTAAGGGTTAAACTTCAATGAATCCAAACTAGGAAGTGCGTCTCCTAAAGCAAAAATATAACCTAAAAGACCTAGGCTAGGAAGTGCATCTCCTAGGGGTGAAACTTCAATGACTCAAGCTAGGAAGTGCATCTCCTATGAATGAACTTAAATGAACCAGACTAGGAAGTGTGTCTCCTAGTGGTAAAATCTCAATTTAGGAAGTGCGTCTCCTAAGGGTGAAGCTTGAATGAACCAAACTAGGAAGTGCGTCTCTTAATGGTAAAATATCTCAATTTAGGAAGTGTCTCCTACAATAAAATATAACTTGAAAACCAAGACTAGGAAGTGTTTCTCCTAGGGGTGATGTATGATTTTCTCAATAGCCTTTGTATAAGCAGAATTGGGGGCATTACACCTAAAAAAATTCAAGCTTCCAAGATTTGATATGAACATAGATTTCGTTCCTGTTTCAGACAAAGAAAACATTATGAATTTAAACATGATGGTTGGTTTATGGCTTTGACTTTGAGGGCGATTGCTCCTTCACTTGCCATGATAACTTTGATTTCACCTTGAAAGATATTGCTTGCTTATTGACTAACCACTTTCTATGTCACCCTTATCATTGAAAGCACCTTCGATCCATTCGAACCCAATATCCCCTATCTGTTGCATTTTGCTCATGAATTGCCATATACTGAACCTTTGAACATGAATCCCAAATCACGTTGATTGTTGCAACTCAGTGCGCCTACTTTTCCTTCCTGACTTATGCCACTTTGATGTGCAAGACAGATTCTATTTTGTGCAATTGGAAAGCTGGTAGCAAATTTTGAAGTCATTTCTCACTTGTTTTAACCAAACAGACTCAAGAAGAGGAAGTAAACAATACAAAAGGAACAGAGTAAGGGACAATGGAATGAGATGATACCTAACAAGAAAATGACAAAGTTGAAACCTATCAGATGTGGACAACAACTCTAATGACCATGACATGTACCTTTCGATTAAGTGGCTTAAATTGTTAAGCAAGTCCGATGTTCAACTCTTGTTATATCCCTAAACTGTGAAACTGGGCTTCAGTGCTCCGATTATCTAATCTGATTCACGATCCTTATTTGACTTGTAGTGCCCAAAGGGTTTTCACCATCAAGACTCTCTCATTTTATTCTTTCTCTCAACTTACCGTCGCCTTATGGTGCCTGTGAAGATTTTTACTGATAAGACTCTCTCATTTTTTGTTTTCCTTGTGTAGAATGGAGTATTGCCCCTGATGAGAATCATACCTCTAACTCGCTTGACTTGGAACTACTCAAAGATTGATTGGAAGGTCTTTCTTTGGACCGTAATGTAGGCTTTTGGATAGGAATAGAAACAAAGGGTATCATAAAGGCTCAAAAACAGCTTAAAAGGGCTCAAAATTACAACTTTTGGAATCAGATCTCTTACAACAACCACAACTTCTGCCCCACTTTCTTTGCTTGGGGACCTTTGAATTTTATTTTGATGGGACCGAACCGTGAGGCTTCCTACGTATCCTTAAAAGGGATCAGGTAGAACATAGTTCATGACATAGCAATTGCTTTGTTTTTATACCTTTCTCTCTTTTTTTTCTTTTTCTCTTTTTTTTCTTCTTTTTTTCTTTTCTTTACTCTTTTTCCATTTTTGCTTTCTCTTTTTCTCTTTTTTTCTTTTTCTTTTTTATGTATCATATTTCTAAACTCTGCTTCTGATTCCAAAAGAGGGATATAAAAGAAAATAAATATCAAAGGGGTAACATAGGATAAAATGTTTAGATAGTAAAAAAAGTGCTTTCGTCATTTCAATCTTCAAAGCATGCCAAATTCAAAAACCACAATTAAACAAACCAAAGAAATCATACATAATATCTTTTGACTGCATCAGAATTGATAATCATATCCACACATTTGCCTTCTGCATCTGTTAATACAAAGCACCATTGGACAACACTCTCATTACCACGAATGGCCCTTGCTAATTTGGGGCAAACTTGCCTTTAGCCTCAATCCTGATACGACAGGATGTGTTTCAATAGTGTTTCTTTATGTTCTATCTGTCCCAGTTTCACACAATTTGGGCTTGGAGTGATCTCAAAATGCCTTTACTTATTTCCCTCAAATATCCCTATCATCTTCAAAATTGTTTCATTGCTTCACGACTAAACTAACTTTTAAGACCAGGCTGATAATTACGCGTTCATGTCATGTCACTAGAGTCAGCAGGAAAAGAGCTATAAAAGGGAAAGAGAACTAAAAAAACACTGAGTACAAATAACAGAAAATAGGAAATTGCATTAGATAGATGGTGAAAGGGTTTGAACAACAAAACAAGTAAAACAAGTTGGGGTTACAACCCTGGAACAAAACCAGACAACACTAAACGAGCTACTACGACTAAATAAACTAGGCAAAATAAAAGGATAGAAGGGTTTGAGTCACAAGATAATATCCAGATTACAACCTTGAAAATAATCCGGAAAACAGAAATGACAACAAAATAAACGACCAAGACTCCTCCCCAACTAGCCAAGAGATGGAGCGTCTTTCCAATTACCAAGCACGACATCTTAGCCACTGAGTTCTATATTCATATTGCCAAGACCATTACCAACTTCAATATCATTAACTTCAGTTAGCAAGTTCCCAAGAGGATTCACATGCTCCCTGTCACTGTTCTCGATCACAATTGCCTCTTCTTGAATCATTCTTTCTATTTCCCTTTTCAAAGCACGACAATCTTCAATGCTATTCCCTTGGACGTTTGAGTGGTACATGCATCGTATAGTAGGATCAAAACCTTTTGCATATGGGTCAGGAGTATAGCCGATGAGCGGCTCAATCAGGCCAGAATGCTTTAACTTTTCAAACAAGCTTGTGTAGGACTACCCGATTGGTGTGAAACTATTTCTTTGCCTTTGTTCCCCTCTCTGCCTCTGTTTTCTAGGGTTGTTGGGTGCTAAAAAATGTTGTGAAGGCGAGAATGCTACATGGTGCTGGCGCTTGCCACAGGGAGTGACATGGTGGTTGGACAGATGATCGGACATTGCTCGGAGGATAGTACTGAGGTGGATTATGTGGAGCTCGGGGATAGGTTTGGGGTTGGAGTTGAGGCTGGGTATATTAGTGAGACGGACCCTTTGGACCATGTCGTGACTCTAAAACAACCATGGCAACATCATCGTGTTCCTTCTGACCCAGCAAGCTTCCTGTGTCATTCTGAATTGCTTGTGTTGTGGCTTTTAATGCAAAATAACTCATGATCTTTCTCGACTTCAACCCATCTTCTACCATTTCTCCCATTTTTACCACACCATTGAAAGGCCTACCCACAACCGTGACCAAATGCCCAAAGTAAGTTGGCTCTTGAGCTTGAATAAAGTACTCGACCATCTCTTTTTCTTCCATCGGGGGATTGACTCTAGAAGCTTGCTCTCTCCATCTGAGCCCGTATTCTCTAAAGCTTTCATTAGGCTTCTTTTCCATCTTGGTGAGGGACATGCGATCCGGGACAATTTCTATGTTGTACTGAAAGTTCCGGGCAAAATCCTGTGCCATATCGTCCCATATGTACCACTTGCTAACGTCTTGGCGGGTGTACCACTCCAGAGCTGCCCCACTCAAACTCTGACTGAAATATGCCATCAATAATTTGTCCTTCCCACCGGCGCCTCTCATCTTACTGCAGTAACCTCTCAAATGGAATACGCGATCTCCATGTCCGTCATACAAATCAAACTTCGGCATCTTTAAACCAGCAGGCAGTTGGATGTCAGGAAATAAGGACAAGTCTTTGTAAGCCACGCTCATCTGGCTCCATATCCCTTGCATGTTTCTTAAAGACTGCTCTAAGATTTTCACCTTCCTGGATATCTCATCTTGATCCACTATACTAGCAGGCTTTTCAGCTTCACCAGGAGGCTCAAAATGAGAAGCGTGAGAGTAGGGATCCGAAACCTTGGAAGTTGGTTCTGGAGCATAGTGTTGGGCATCAGGGACTTTGAGCACAGTCTCGTTAGAGGATTGAGGAAAAGTAGCTGGATGAGGAGCTACAAGAGCATGAGTGGCCAAAGGAGCGAGATATGATGTGCTTTTGAGGGGTGGAGTGTGAAAAGGTTGTGGGGAGATATCAACAACAGTGGGAACCTAGGCTTGTGATAGTGGTGGGATAGTTGCAGGGTTTTCAGTGTAGTTAGTGGGGAATGAAGGTGGAGGATGCCCCCTGATCCAACACTGATACATTTTTGCCATCTGATGTTTCATCCTTTGGACCTCCTCTTTCAATTCAGACTCCAACTCCACAAACCCCCTTGACGGTCAACAACTCTCGTGCCCAAGTCTTTGCTAGCCATGACTACCTTGCTCTTTGACCTTGCGTTGTATGGAAGAGTTACCAGTTTAAGAACCACAAACCAACCACCCTTCTGCTATAATGAGGATAACAAAGAGGAACAAAATAAAGACATCATGTTAGCGTTAGGGCATTTAACAGCTAAAAATATCACATTACATGCAATGCACCTAGCAACAATTAATGTTTCAAGAATGACTTCGAGGGTCACAAGGTCACTTGGCATCATCCCAATTTGTTAATTACAATCTTCTCTTTTCTTTCCTTTTCTAGCACTTGCTTGCTCATTTTTCTTCATCTTTTTTTCTAATTATCACTCTTTTCTTTCTTCTCATTTCTCACATCCCATAGTTTCACTTTTTTTCTTTTTGCTTCTTTTTTCTTCTTAATAATAAAAAAATAATTCGATCGAACCATATGTAGGTTTCCTACGTATCATGACACCACATGAATCAGATCTTTGCGTAGTTCAGGAAGATCGGGAATAAAGTAAACAAACTAACGTTCTTTTTCTTTTTTCTTTTTTTTTTACCTTAATTACTACTCTGATGAGAAAAAGAAGAAAATCTTTTTTTTGACTTAATGTTCTATAATCTACTCTAAACGCAAGCTTAACAAGCATATATTTTTCTTTTTAAAACAAACACTCGATGGGAAATTATTAAGGAAAAAGTCCTCTAAGAGAAAAACATGTTTTTGATTCTTTTTTTAGGAAGGAAATCTAAACAATAAACCAAAGAAAAATATTTTGAATTTTCATCTGATATCCCTGAAGAAAGATTTCGAAACGATAGATGAACAAAATAAAGATAATATTTTTGGATTTCAATTTTGATTATCCACGGGAGAAACTTTGAACGCAAACAAAAGATAAAGTTCTAGTGAAAATAAGAAGAATACTTTTTTTTTGTTTTTCCAAAGAAAAACCTCAAAAGAAAACCTTTTTGGATTTTGGAATTAATATCTTAAAGAAAACTTGTAAAGATGTACTAAAAGAAAATTCTCTTTTTTAAATTTTTAGTCTTATTGTACTAAAGAAAATATAAAAGCAATTTGTATTTTATTTTCTAGATATTAATTTCCTAAGAAAAACCACAAAAGATTTTTTTTGAACTTCTAGAGTTAGTATTCTAAAGAAAACATCTAACAGAAATATAAATACGCGAAATCTCTTTTTTTTTTTTTTGGATTTTTGATTTATTACATATCTTTTCTTCAAATACAAAATAGGAAATACCATAACAAAAGACTTAACAAACTTAACTAGCCTATGACAGACTCTAATATCACCTAAAAGACTTGGAATCATTATACAAAACTAGAAGTTAAAAGACGACATAAAAATAAAACAGACTCAAAACATAACAAAAAAAATCCTTAAGCAAACTCCTAAATGAGCGATCTTAACTGGATGGTCCTAAGGAGTCTGTCATGCCCAAACTCTTATAAGTAGATCCACACCTATATGAGAAAATTAAGACAAAATAAAGTTAAAGACCTAGAACTCTAGATGAGACAATAACCCTTCATGTTGGACACATACAAGACATGATTATGACTATTTTTCTAAAATTAACCTATGTGACTAACAGTGGCTAAAAATGCAAGATTTGGCTAAGACCCCGCGAAGCCAAGAACCTAAAACTCACTAGGAAGACCGGACCCTATGTGGGTTGCCTACGTATCACGCCCCGAAAGACGAGAATCAGGTATGCATAGTTCGGGCACATTGGATACTGGCAAGAATTAAAAAAATAACTAATTTAGAGAAAAATATGTTTTTTTTTGTCTTTTCTTTTTTGAAAAAGGATGAAACATGTAAACTCTTTTTGGATTTTCTTTTCCCTTTTTTTTTGATTTTTTGATTTTCGAAAAATGATGAAAAAGTGCAAATCTTTTTTTTGAATTTTTCATGCTTTTTTTCTTAATAAAAATGTGAAAGAAAACATAATCGGGCCCTACTTGCTTTATTTTTCATACTTCACCCTCTTTTTTTCTTTTTTTTTTCTTTTTTCATTTGCCCTCAACTATCATTGATCCGCCAAATGACCCTTTTACCCTTGAAAATTGCAACATGTAGCACATAGGATGCATCAGGATGGTCTTTTATTTTTGGGGTACACATGTCTTAGACGGACCCAACCCCTATGTTGAGTCCCCAAAGTCAAATGCACATGATGCATACAAGCGTTCCTACTAAGGNCTACGTACTGGGAACCAAAAAGTCATCCGGTTTTGTAACTTGTCTTAGCCTCTTTCTAATTTAAGGTATGACACTAACAGAAGAGGAGTCACGCCAGCGTTCACATCCCCGAAGATGAGAAGAGAAGGGTTTCGTAGCAGTTATATACAGTTCAAATAATATCAAAGCGGTAAAAAGCAACATTTAGCACATTAGGCCCAAAAACGTAATTAAAAGCAGACAATAAATAAAGCCAAATATAACAATAATTCTAAGCTCGAATTTGGAACCCTGAAATATAAGTTTTGGGTTCTTGTCCCCAGCAGAGTCGCCAGAGCTGTCACACCTCCTTTTTTCTACCTCCGGAAGGGTATAAGGGAGTTTTTTCCAATTTAAGTGACAATCAAAATGAGATTATTTTATTTAAAATTCAGAGTCGCCACTTAGAATAATTTATGGTGTCCCAAGTCACCGGTTTAAAATCCCTAATAAAGGAAAGATTGACTCTGTTTTCAGTCCGCGAACACAGAAATCCGGGTAAGGAATTTTGTTAACCCGGGAGAAGGTGTTAGTTATTCCCGGGTTCCGTGGTTTCAGCACAGTCGCTCAACTGTTATTATTGGCCTATTTATTTTGATTTTAAAATATTTTTGAAACATATGTGCATTTTACTCTTTTTAAACCGCTTTAATAATCCAATTATTATACAACTAATTATTAATTACATATTTGCGAATCATGTCACGGGAACCGTACTCACGATCCACATCGTGTTTATTTTATTAAAAAGATTAAATTGTGGTCGGATCACATAAATGTAACCCCGGATTTAGAAATTAGACATCACAACTACGTCACGGGAATCGTACCCATAGCTATGACAATTTATTTAATTAACACGCCTAAAGCAAACTACAAATATTCATCTTTCTTTAATGAAACAAGAAATTAAAATGATTGAAACAAGTAACAGAACATCAGCCAAGGAGCAAAATTCTAATATGAACATTAATAAAAAAAATGAATTTCCTTTAAAGCATTATTGACTTATTTACTTTCTTAACCTAACATGGATTTATCAAATTAACCAAATTGACAACATGAATGAGAAGTTCACGTTTCAGTTTCTTGCAAAACTGATTTCAATTAAACAAGGAAAAACAAAACAACGAAAGAAACGAAAAGGCAATACAACATTTAGACATTTCTAACCCAAAACAGAGCATTATATAATTAAAGGGAAATAGTAAATTAAAAGAAGAATCCTTTGTTGATAGAACTCTAACCTTCTGCTGCATACAGATAAGTGACACTCAAATGAGGTACCGACTGAAAACTCAGACAGGCGATGGGAGCTCGAACGGACTTCTAAATCGACCTCGACGCACCGGACCTCGACGAACTCAACACTTCAATATCTAGTGCTGAACAGATCTCGCAAACGAGCTCCAAGATGGATTCAACCTCGACAAGGGACCAGCAGAATAGTCATCGAAACTCAACCAGAAAAACTCGAGACTCACCGGAAAAGAATGTTAAACGAGCTCTTGGACTCCTCACTATTTTCAGCGTGTGCGTGTGTGCGTGAAGCTTCGTCCAGTTGTGGGAAATGGGGTCGTTTGGCGTGAGGTGAATGAGAAAGGTCCTGGGTGTGCTAAGGCTTAGCCTGTTTTACTTAGGCTTCTAGGGTTTTGTCTTGTATCCCAATGAAGAAGAAGCTGGAATTCCGATGGGGAGGGGTCTATCTTGGAGTTATACGGCTGTTGTAGCTTTTTTGTCTCTAAGGGTCTAAAGTGCTGAAGGAGATCATATTTTTAGGATGTAACGAGCTGGTTTCTTTAGCTCTTAAGTTTCGTGTGAAGGGTGTGTCGAAGAAGATGACTGCTCGGGGGGTGGGGTTCCTGATGAAACGGCGGATTCTATAACTCTTTTTAGATCTAGGGTCTTTTTTTTGGTCTATTTCCTTTAGCTGATCGTGTATTTTCAGATCATAGGCCTTAGGTGTTAGCTTCTTTTTATAGGTTTAGGGTTTTATGATTATATTTAGGTTAAGGGGTATGAACCTAGAAATTATGGGCTTGGGAATTATAGGCTAGATCCGAAAATTAAACCTAAAAATGGGTTGCTCGAGTCCAAGTTTTATTCTTTCTTCGCGAACGAGACTAAAATACGACCTCATTTATTAATTAGTCCTTCTTAAGTGAAATAACTGTTAAAATAAGATTGATCATTAAAACAAAACTATTTTTTTGTAATTTTCATTTTCTTGTAATAAAATAAAGTAGAAGAGTCAAAATTAGTTGAAATAACGATATTAGGCCTAAATTAAATATTTATGTGCTAGAATATGAAATTTTTTGGGGAGGGTCAAAAATGACATGTCTACACACTTTATATAGGAGGGGAATCCCAACATAGTACAAAATGCATTAATTGTAAAGGTATGGAAATGAGACGGCTAGACGTGACACCCGGCTCTGCTAGTGCTATCTGCTCGGCTTGGGAACTCCCCATCCTCGGCGTCGCCGTTGGGTCGAGCGTAAATGGACATCGAGGGAGAGAACTCGTCCGCAACCTCGCAGCCTCGAGATCTCGATATGACTTCCTGAAACTCCTTAATGACGAGAAATTGGACCCTCCAATTTCACCGTATATACTCAGCATTAGCATATATTGATGGTATAATTTGCATTGAATATCTTCCTACTACTTGACCAAAAAATACTACAAATTGATTAATTGGAAAGAGGCTACAAAAAGCAATCCCACATCTTGCAACTAATTATTAAGGAGCTCCTATTTGTCTGACGAGGCAGGCAGCTTAACATAAGTTTTTCTTTTACCAGCAAAACATAATATATCACTGAGTAATCAATGATGTCATTAGACAACTTTTAAGCATGTGTGAAGAAGAGTTTGGGCTGCCAAATCCCATTATTTTATGATAACACATTCACTATTTGTACACAATGTACTCTCTACACAAATGTTATATTGCTTGTGTTTATACCTTATATGCAATATTCATACATTATTTCTATCCATTTATATGCAACTACAATGTCATACAACTTATGTACAACTTTCACCCATTATTTCTACCTAGTTAAATACAACTACAATAACATACAACTTAAATACAAATTTTATACAAAATTTATACAATATGTCTTTTGTATATTTTGTATCTGATTTATACATAGTAAAATTAAATTTCATACAACTAATTATATATTATACAATTTATCTACAACTTTCATACAATATTTCTACCCAGTTGAATACAACTACAATAACATACAACTTAAATACAAATTTTATACAAAATTTATACAATATGTCTTTTGTATATTTTGTATCTAATTTATACATAGTAAAAACAAATTTCATACAACTAATTATATATTATACAATTTATCTACAATTTTAATTCATTATTTCTACTCAGTTATATACAACTACAATATCATACAACTTAATTATAATTTTTATACAATATTGTTCAACTTTCATACAATAGTTAAATAAATAAAAGAAAAATATATAAACAACATAATACAATTTTCTACAATTTTCTAGAATTTTACTATAATTTCGTAAATATAATGTATATCATGTCTTCTTCTTTTTCTTCTTCTTCTTCTTCTTTGAGTTTCAATCTGAAATTCAGCTAAACCAAGTCTAATCTTCACCAAAATCCCTCAAAATTGAGATATAAACTCCAAACCATATTTTTCAATTGTTTGCAACCCCAATCCAAACAAATAATAATTTTGGAAAACCCAAATTCAAATTCAAAGCTTCAAAGCTTTTTAATGGCTATCAATGGTGGAATTGCTGCTCTCTTTTCCTTTGCTTTACATTACTGAAATTAGGGATTGATTGATATAGAGAGACGTTGAGATAATTCCCAATTCTTTGCAATAATATCCAATTCAAACAAATAATATTTTTTGAAAATCCAAATTCGAATTTAAAGCTTCAAAGCTTTTTAATGGTTGTTAATGGTAGAATCGTGAGTGGGTGCAAGATACATGGGGGAGGGAGTGGGATGTGGAGAGATAAACGTGAGGATGTGGAAGATATGTTAGAGTAATTTTAGGACACTAATTATTATCATTAATTCCCTTAAAATGTACATAAATGGTAATTGGGTATATAAAATGTAACACCAACAATAACAATAACTACCTAGTAAAATCCCACAAAGTGAGGTTTGGGGAAGGTAATGTGTACGCAGACCTTACCCCTACCCTGATAGGGCAGAGAGGCTGTTTTCGATAGACCCTCGGCTCAGAAAAAAGAAAAAGAGAAGGAGACAATTCATCAGTAACTCCAGTAGAAACCATAATAGTAAGAGAAGCATAACAACCAAAAGATAAATGACATGCAATAACAGTAACCAGTAACTAAGGTCCGAGGCTAAGATAAACAGCAAGGATAGTGTGGATTCAACATATACTGCAAACTATCTAAGATCAACTCTAATCCAACCCCGCCTCACCCCCGGTATGAAGTACACAAAGCTCTACTACCCCCTAACCTACAACCCTAATGCTTGACCTCCAAACCTTCCTATCAAGTGCCATGTTCTCAGAAAAGGGTATATAAAATATAATTACACTAAAATTTGAGTAGGGAGGGTAATATAGTTTTATATAATGTATAGGAATATAAAAATTCCTTTTTGGAAATACTGTTTTTATTTATTATATGCAGAAAGGACTTGACAACGGAAAAAAAGAAAAAGGAAAGAAGTAAGTATTTGATCAATTAACGTTGCTCTAAAAGTCAATATAGGGAGAAACGGGTTGTTGGAAAATATACAAAAAGTTTAAAACCATTTGATAATTAGTCAACCAGCAATATGAAAATTGGCGTCACTAACTCACAAGGTTTTATCAATAATATCATTATTAGATTTGTCTTCTTAATAAAAAAGGGAGAATGATATTTGTATGCGGTAAAATTGATTAGTGACAGTTGGACGAATGATAGATGACACGTGGAGCTGAAGACAGGTAGGATGTGAGTCACCAAATAGTCGATACCGGTTGCAAACATGTGATCGATTCTGGGTGAATTTCGACGACAGGGTAACCGATAACAAAGATTTTTAGAACTGATATTGGATAACATTTAATGACCAGTCGTTACAGAGAATTTCTGTATTTATAGCCAACCGTTATGCAATCATCAATGGCGGTTTTATTCTCATTCAAGAACAACTTGATTTAGGGATCTTGTCTCCCTAAACACAACTATAAATAAGAGAATTCGAATCCATTGTAGGACACGAAAAAGATTCTATATACAAAAGCTATATTCTGCTCTCAAATTATGAAATTACTTGCTTTCTTTTGTTCTTAATATTGTTCATACTACTGCTTCTGAAAATGTCATGACCCGGATTTTTCACCTTCGGGAGTCGTGATAGCGCCTATTCATGAAAGCTAGGCAAGCCGAGTATTACATAATTTTTACCCTTTTTCCTTAACATTTTAACAGTTCAATTTAACAGGCGATCAACAGCGGAATAACCATAATAATAAAATAAATGCGGAAGACGAAATCTGATAATATCACTAAATACTAATACAGAAATCCAAAATATAACTCTACCTAGAATTGGAGTCACAATGTCACGGACTATCTACGAATACTACAAACAGTGGTATGAAGAAAAATAATGCAAATCTGTCTCGGCCTGCGGATAAATATAAAAACAGAATGGAAAGATAGAAGGAGACACCAAGGCCTGCGGACGCCTGCAGGACTATCTCGTGTCTCCGCCGCTGGACTGAAGGCAGCAACCTCGCTGTGGTCCAAAAGCTCCAGCACCAGGATCTGCACACAGTGCAGAGTGTAGTATCAGTAAAACCGACCCCATGTTCTGGTAAGTGTCGTGTCTAACCTCAGCGAAGTAATAACGAGGCTAGGACAAGACTACCAAATGAACCTGTGCAGTTATATCATATACAACAAGTAATAACGACAAAAACTAGCAGTTAAAGATGGGAAGGGGAAACATGCTCGGGGGAATATCATGTACAAATAGAAATTTAGTAAATGAAGCATACAGAACACTAAAATTCAACTATAAGCAAGAATATGGAAATCAATGACAAGTACATGGCATCACCAGTTCGTATGCTTTTACCCTCGTTCTCACCATAAGAATCAATATGTTCGGCATGGAATCACCCTTCGTGCTTTTACCTCACATAATCATGGCACGCCATTATCCTTCGTGCATTACACTCATATCATGACACGGCATCAACCTTCATGCATTAACACTCACTCACAAATATCACGCACGACATCACCCTTTGTGCTTTTACATTCTTCCTTACCCAAGCAGCAATCACAAAGAAATTCGGGAAAGGGAATCAATAAAATTACTATAGAATCCCAAAAAGGGAAACAATATCATGAGCAATAATATCCCGTCAAGGGAAATAATATCAAAAGCAATAACATCCCGGCAAGGGAAACAATATCATAAACCTCTTCTCTTTTCCACAATTACTTCACAACTCAATTCTCAACTTGAGCCAATGCTCTACAACGTTCAATTACCACGAATACTTCCATAAGCCTTGTTCAACATTAGAAATTATCATATTAAGCATGGTCAATACAAAACGGAGTCACATCAATCATAGTATAGGACTTACGGGCATGCTTGACACCAACGTATAGATACTCGTCACCATACCTATACGTCGTACTCAACAATTAACACATAACAAATAAGACCAAGACTCATATTCCCTTAAGCTAAGGATAGACCAAACTCTTACCTCAATGCCACGAACACAATCAAGCCTCAGCTACCGTTTTACCCCTCGATTCTACCACTAATTCGCTTGTATCTACCACAATTTACTTAACAATATCAATAAATTCTAAATGAACCAATTCTAATGCATAAAATAGGTTTTCTAATGATTTTTCCAAAAAGTCAAAAACTGGC